TCCTTCCCTCCTTCCCTCCTTCCCTCCTTCCCTCCTTCCCTCCTTCCCTTTGTAAATTTTTAGTGGTGTCCCCTACTTTATATATATATTTTATTTCATGGTTCAGAACCAAAAGTAGAAGTTAGACCAAAGGACAAAACTTCTCTTTCATTGAACCTGTATGGGCCTCTCTGCACACACGCTGTGGTTCCATACCAAACAGATTGAAAAGCATGAATGGGTCAAAAATCACGTCATCACCCCTCAAGGGAAATTCAGTTTGAAACCCAGCCTCAGAACAGTGGGTCCTTATTCTGAAATAGACTTCCACGGCTTTTAGATCATCAGAGCATGCAGAACTTGGGGTTCTCTGCACACAGTATAAACTAGTTGGTAACTTTGTTCTCTCCACAGAGTGAATCATTTTAGAATCAGGGAACTTTGAAGTATTTAAATTTTTTAAGAATGTGAAAGTTGTGCTATTTTATTGATCAGACAACACCCCCCCATCCCACCCCCTTGCCTAGCGTTTTTTCGGGGGACAACTTCAGAAACACAAATTACTTGTACAAGTCAGAATCCATGTCATCTGTTATGGCATTTTAGGTATAGACAGCTCCTTTGGAAACAGGCAGGTTTCAAAATGTGCCATCTCAGATTAGGGATGCAGGGACTTTCAGGTTCCAAAACGAGTTTCCAAAACCTGTTTTTTGTTTGTTTGTGTGTCTGGTTGTTTTCTTTCTTAAATCAGAAATTGAACTCAGCACCTTGTGCTTGCCAGGTGGGCACTGTGCCTCTGAGCTATATTGTTGGCCCCAAAACCTGTTCTTTAAAACAAGTTAATACAGGGGTTAAGAGTAGTGGTACAGCACTTGACCAGCATGTGTGAGGCCCCTGGGTGGTCTGATCGTGTGTACAAACTAAAATGACAGACATGAAGAGAAACTGTGGAAGATTTTTGTGATCTTGAATTATTTCTCCCACTAAGTCCCATCACATCCTTCTTGTAAAATCCTTCAGTGAGTGCATGCATGCATGTATAAGAGAGACAAGGAGAAAAAGATTACTCAAGAGATCTCAGCCTCCCAGCATTCGGTGTTTTCATGGACACTGTCTTTCCATCCTGCTGGTCCTGCCACTGGTATCCTTTCTGTTACTCTCTCTCTACACAGCCACCTCTGTTGCCTGAGCCAGTCATACCTTCCCACTGCCTCCATTCTCTTGTTTTTGTTCCTCTCCTGTACACTCCATAAAGCCAGTTTGACAGCGTAAGTCTTACTTGCATCACTTCTGTGCCTAAAACTGGGCTTAGCCGGGAGGCTAAAGCAGGTGACCCAAATTTAAAGCTACCCTGGGCAGTTCAACAAGACCTTTTCTCAAAATTTAAAAAATAAAAATCACTAAGGTGTAGCTACAGTTATACAGCACTTAGCTTGGGTGGCAGGCCCTGGCCTAGATCTCCAGGACCACAAAAACAAAATGGAACTGCTTTCTTGAGCTACTGCTTCTTGTTTTTTTTTTGCTACCGGGAATTGAACTAAGGACCTTGCACTTGCCAGGCAGGTGCTTGTGCTGCTGAGCTATATCCCTGGCCCTGAACTGCTTTCTTGAAATGCCAAACAAATACTTGTACCTTAGGTTTGAACTTGTGAAGGAGACTCTATCACCTTCCGTCTAGGTCAGGCCTCCCTAGCCATTGTCTATCTGATTATGTTTGTGCTTTTTAATACCCAGTAACATTTTAAGTGACTTCAGTTCTGTACTTAATAACTTGTACAACGTGAGGACAGGCACTGTTTTCAGTTGGTTGCTGCATTTCCTCAAGAATCTGGCTCAAAACAGGTTATTGGTGAGCATTTGGTTGTTTTGAGATAGGGTTTCACTATTTAGTTCAGGCTGGTCTTGAACTCACTATGTAGCCCAGCTGGCCTCAAACTTGAAGCGATCCTCCTGCCTCAGCCTCCCAACTCCTGAGATTGCAGGTGTGGGCCACCACACCTGGCTTTTGGTGAGCATTTGTTAGATAACTGTTTTGTTAGTTTTTTTTTCTGTTTAATTCTAAATTAGAAATAATTACAGTAATAATTATAATAATTACAGTAATGATAATATATCCCTTACCCAGATTCGCCAATTATTTACCATATTTGCTTTATCATTCTAAATATATAAATATAGTTCTCCCTTAGTGTTTGTGGGATTTGTTACAGAGCCTCCCCCAAGGATACCAAGAACTGTGGGTGTGCAAGTCTTTCATATAAAATACCTATTACATTTGCATATAGCCTGTCTGGGTTACTTTTTTCTCATTACTGAGGCAAAATACCTGACGCCCAGTATTATAAAAGGAAAGGTTTATTTAGCTCACAGTTTGTGGAGGTTTCAGTCCATAATCAGCTGGCTCCAGGGCAGAGTGGCACATGGCAGAGGGCAGCAGTTCATGGTAGCGGAAAACAGCAAAAGCAAAAAGGGAGGATCAGCAGAGAGCAAGCCTCTTTCCCTCCCTTACATTGTATGCGGGCTACCTGCCCAAGGGCGGGTATAGCCTTCACGCCCATAATCCCAGCATTGGACCATGAGTAAATTAGAAACTCCGTAAGCCCGCCCCATGACTGCATGAGGCTTTGGGGAGACATCTAGACACAAACTGTAGCATAGCCTGTGCATATTTTCCCATGTACTTTAAATAATCTCTAGATTACTTGTAATGCCAAGCAGAGTTTTTTTCCTTTTCTTTTTGGAAGTACTGGAGATTGGACAGACCCAGGGTCTCAGCACTGAGGTGTATCCTTGACCAGTGTTTCCTCTAATTTTGATTCATGGACGTGTCTAGGCTGGGTGTAGATTTGTGACCCTCCTGCCTTAGCCTCCCAGAGTGTAATAATTGTTAGATTAATGACAAGGGAAGGGGCTGGGGATTTAGCTCAGTGGCACAGCGCCTGCCTGGCAAGTGCAAGGTTGTGAGTTCAATTTCAGGTACGGTAGTGGGGGTGACAAGGGGAAAAGTCTGTACATGTTTAGCACAGGCATAGGTTTTCCCCCAAAGTATTTTTGATATGTAATTAATTGAGTCCATGGATATGGATCCTACAGATACTGAGGCCTAAATATCTATGTGATTTGAGAATAAATTGGAATTTTGGGGGGGCATAGCCTCTTTACCCCTAAAGATGCCAGCATTCATTTCCTGTCTTACATGGTCATGGTATGATTGTCAAAATCAGGAAGTTAATCTTGATACAATACCATTATCTCATACAATACCAGTAACATCAACGTTATACAGTATCAGTCCATAATTAAGCCTCAGCAATATCAACAGTGTTTGTGTATTCCAGGCTGGCCCTAGACTTTCTGTGTAGCCCTGGTTGGCCTTGACTTGTGATCTTCTTGTCTCAGCCTCCTCAGTGCACCAGATGCCTGCCTTTTTTGGGCTGTTTTTTTTTCCTTTGATTTTATGTTTTTCAAGAGTATAGGCCCCAGATGTCTTTTGTAGATTATCTCTCAGTATGGGTTTCTCTGTTTTTTTTTTTTCTGTGCTTGGTTCTAAGGCTTTGCTCTATCTCCTTTTCCTCTAGGTAGAGAAGATCCGCCAGGTGAAAGCCAAGTCTCTATATCTGCAGGTAGAGAAGCTACGGCAAAACCTCAACAAGCTGGAGAGCACGATCAGTGCTGTGCAGCAGGTCCTGGAGGAGGGTAGGGCACTGGACATTCTGCTTGCCCGAGACCGGATGCTGGCCCAGGTGCAGGAGCTGAAGACCGTGCGGAGCTTCCTGCAGCCCCAGGAAGATGATCGAGTTATGTTCACACCCCCTGACCAGGCTCTGTACCTTGCCATCAAGTCCTTTGGCTTTGTTAGCAGTGGGGCCTTTGCACCTCTCACTAAGGCCACAGGTGATGGCCTCAAGCGGGCCCTCCAGGGTAAGGTGGCCTCATTCACTGTCATTGGCTATGACCATGACGGTGAGCCCCGCCTCTCAGGGGGTGACCTAATGTCAGCTGTGGTGCTGGGCCCTGATGGTAACCTGTTCGGGGCAGAGGTGAGTGATCAGCAGAATGGGACTTATGTGGTGAGCTACCGGCCCCAGCTCGAGGGTGAGCATCTGGTGTCAGTGACCATGTGCAACCAGCATATTGAGAACAGCCCCTTCAAGGTGGTGGTCAAGTCAGGCCGCAGCTATGTGGGCATTGGGCTTCCGGGCCTGAGCTTTGGCAGTGAGGGTGACAGTGATGGCAAGCTCTGCCGCCCTTGGGGGGTGAGTGTAGACAAGGAGGGCTACATCATTGTCGCCGACCGCAGCAATAACCGCATCCAGGTGTTCAAGCCCTGTGGCTCCTTCCACCACAAATTTGGCACCCTGGGTTCCCGGCCTGGACAGTTCGACCGGCCTGCTGGAGTGGCCTGTGACACTTCACGCAGGATTGTGGTGGCTGACAAGGACAATCATCGTATCCAGATCTTCACCTTTGAGGGCCAGTTCCTCCTCAAGTTTGGTGAGAAAGGAACCAAAAATGGGCAGTTCAACTACCCTTGGGATGTGGCAGTAAATTCTGAGGGCAAGATCCTGGTCTCAGACACCCGGAACCACCGCATCCAGCTGTTTGGGCCTGATGGGGTCTTCCTGAATAAGTATGGCTTTGAGGGGGCCCTCTGGAAGCACTTTGACTCCCCGAGGGGTGTGGCCTTCAACCATGAGGGTCACTTGGTGGTCACCGACTTCAACAACCACCGGCTTCTGGTCATTCACCCCGACTGTCAATCAGCACGCTTCCTGGGCTCAGAGGGCACCGGCAATGGGCAGTTCCTGCGCCCACAAGGCGTGGCAGTGGATCAGGAAGGGCGCATCATCGTGGCTGATTCCAGGAACCACCGGGTACAGATGTTTGAGGCCAACGGCAGCTTCCTGTGCAAGTTTGGTACTCAGGGCAGTGGCTTTGGGCAAATGGACCGCCCCTCTGGCATCACTATTACCCCCGATGGAATGATCGTTGTGGTGGACTTTGGCAACAATCGAATCCTCATTTTCTAATTGTATCTACTAGGTTTCTGGGTTTGGGGTGTGCCTGTGTGCGTCTCTCTCTTTTTGAATTTCGAAGAAGAAGCAGTCTCAGGGAAATTTCTTTTTTTCTTTTTTTATTTTAAAGAGAACAAGAAAAGTACAACATTGCTTAAGTCCTACCTCATCTTTATTTTTTTACAGATGAATGTACTTATCTTTTGTGCAGGGATTGAGCCTGTGAAGTGATAATTTCTATCTACCTCATAAGTCTTCACATTTCCTTCTCCAACAGGCCATCTTCCCTTCCCCAGTGGAGTTCTCATTTCCCTCTTCCCTGGTGTGGGGCGTAATATGCACAAGCCTAGCATCTCTGTGGCTGGGAGGGCACTGCATGTGTGTGGCGGGGTGGATTCTGTAGCTTAAGCTAAGGAAACACAATAGGAGAAAACAAAAAAAACTAATGTGGGGAGAATAGGATTTAAAATTCATAATGCTAGAGTATTTGTATTCTTGAGAATAATGCTGTGTTGTTGGGGTTAGATTGTGTTGTGTGGTTTGATCTTTTCTGGAAAGTCTTTTTTTTTTTAATGCTGCAACAGAGGAGTTTTCCTTTGTTCTCTTTTATTACCTCAGTGTGTCTCACATCTTCTGCATCTTTTCTTATTCCTAGGAGATATGGCTGTGGCTTGCTAGCCAAGAAAAGCAGACCATTCATGTTTTAGGGTATCTAGTCTTTATCTTTCTTTTAAGGTAGGATGTGTGTGTGTATTTTAAAGCCATCTTCTGCCCAGATAGTAAAGCTGAAAATGACACACCACACCCTAGGGAACCTGTTCCCATTTTGGTTTCTACAAAATAGGTGTAGCTCAGGATTCTTAATTAAAAGTATTCAAAAAGCTGAGTATTCGTATTTTGTTGTTGGTTATAAAGCATTAAGTGGAAGGAAGAAGAAAACGAACCTCATTCTCAGAGGGTTTTCAGACGTGGACTGCCATGCTGAGAGAGGAAGTAGAGGGCACTAGGGAAGGGAAGCAAGGCACCCCCAAACTAGGGATTCTTCTGCAGGGGCGGGGCTGGCCCCTGACCACAGAGTGAATGTTCTGTAATGCTAGGAGCTTATTTTCCTAAGAAGTATAGGCAGAGGAATAACTTTTATTTTAAAAGCACAATTTTTTCCTGCTTTGGAAATTCAGGGAAGTATAGTATTTGAACCTCAAATTAATGGGAGCAGCCCATTTTCAAAACCTCTGCGTGGGTCACTTTTACAGGATTGTTGTCCCCACCCCACCCCAGGCATCCTGTAGGAAAGACCTCATGGCTGAGGTGAATTTTCCCCCAAGGCCTTTGAATGTAAAGGATTTGTAAACCAAATCACCCCAACCTGAAATGTAGGATATAATACCTTTTTTTGAAACATATAACTTGGTACCAAAGAATGAATATGTGTAAGCCAGACTTACACTACAGGATGGGGGTGGCATGGTGTATGTGTCACTTTACAGGATGGGTTTTTTGTGAGCTGGACTTGGGTGCAAAATGCTTTATTGTTTGCCTTTCAGTTGGAAAGCAAATGTAGCCGAATCTTTGCTTTTTAGAACCCACGTGGGTCCCTTTATTCATTCCTCCAGATACTGAAGTAAGAACCAGTTCTGGGGTAGCTGTCCTTAGGAAAATAGATGCTCTCAGATGTTCAGTTGCCTAGAAGGGCAACCTGTATTTGCAACAGTCAGTCTAATGCATCAGTTTCTGTTCCGCGTGTTTGAGGTTTCTGTCTCAAAAGTGGAGTTTTTAAATGAACAGAGAAATTTACAAATTGAGCAGTTTACTTTTTTTAGTCCAAAAAAGGGGGATGGATTAATGTGACAAATCAAACTACTTTCCCCCCCACTTATTTCTGATACTTAATTTATCACTTTGAGAGGCCCTCTTTCATTGCTTTATTCTAGGGTTTCTGGGTTACCAAAGTGAGGGGGTTACTTCACCAAGCAGATCTGCACACAGTCAGAGATGCATGAAGTGGAAAGACCTTCCACCACTAAACATTCTCACTGTTTCTGTTGTTGGGGTAACTTGGAGGTGGTTTCCCCCTCCTCTCAGCTGTCTACTAGATCACAGTTTAAGCACCAAAGACAACTGGTTTTTAATGCTTAAAATTTATTTTATTGAAGAAACGCATCTTGATAAAAGCTTTCTCAGAAACCAAAGTCATAATTATGACTGGGGAAAGTCATTTCAGTTAATCACTGGCCTTTTATTTTTTATTTCTGTGATCATCTTCACTCTGTTTCCTTCTCAACTTTCCCATATGTGGGGAGGTATTGGGTGCTGATCGAGGCATTTAGTTGGTGAATAGCAGTAGATGTAAATACTTAACATTTCACTGTGGATTTGGTTGTAAAACCGGGGTTTCTGCTTCATGGCTAAACTTGTTAGATCTTAGTGTAGAGCAAGCAGCCTGCAGTCTTGGAACAAGCAGGGCCCTCTGAGGTGGGTGTGTGGAGTGGAGCGTTCCTGCTGCTGTCTCTTCCATGTATGTTGGTTTGGCCCTTTACCTTTCTGAACTCAGAAAGTGGCATCTGTAAAACATGGTCACATTTGGGGAACTTTTGTTTATAAAACAGTTGGTCATTTGTGGCTGCTGGAGATTGATGCCTGACCCTTAGGGATTGGTGCTAAGCACTTTGGAGAGTGTGTTCTGTATAGTGAGGATTGTTCCAAGTCAGTGAAAGATGGTAAAAGCTAACTTGGTGCTCCCTAGTGTGAGGCTGTCTAAAGCATGTGTTCTGATGCTTATCTCCATAATGGGGTGATGCCAGAGTAGATGAGAGTTGGGTCAGAGGAGTCTTCAATGGGTGAAAATTTAAAGTCTTGGGTGCAGAGAAGGAGAATAAAATGTCTGTAGGGAATAAGTGTTCATTAGCTAATACTCCCCATATCGGTCTGATACGGTTAAGTGGCAGGAATAGGAAGGTAGGCTGTAAGGTCAGTTTATATTTGGAGGTACCCATTAAAGGCTGTAAGGTCAGTTTATATTTGGAGGTACCCATTAGTGTTGTATATATAGGCTATATAGGTTTCAATATTGGTGTTAATGTTTAATGGAAATCTGCATAACCCCATAGGTGTTGGCACCGACTTAGCATCTCAAGACTGCAGTCTGTAAGTAAAAGTAGTCACTTTCTGTCAGTTCGGTCACGAAAAGCAATCCTGTCTCAGAACCTGCGTTCTGTTGTGGCTGGCAGGTCGCACTCAATTGGCTGGAGCCCAGTGGCCGCAGCTGCTCCCCAAGTGCACTAAGGCTGGAGCCCAGTGGCCACAGCTGCTCCCCAAGTGCACTAAGTCCTTAATCAGTGCCCTTTTAAGTTTGACTTACTTAGGGAGACACACATGAGTACCACGAACAGAACCTAAATTAATTTTTGGGCCAAAGAAGTTGCCAGAATCAAGGCACTTTGTTATCAATTTGGAAGAGAATAGCTTGAAGTCAGCTCAGCCCGATTTTACTCTAAGCCAAAGCTTATTTCAGGAGGGATGTCTTTTAGGCTTGAAGCAGGAGAGTGCTGTTTGTATTATGTGTTGTCTTCTTATTTGGAAGATTCTAAGATTGCTATGTTCTGGTAGATAGTGAAAGATATGCCAAAGTTTTAGGCTTGTTTTTTTCTGTTTAAAACATTCAGTGGTGCCAAAAAATATTTATGGTGTTTATTAAGAACATCTCTCTCACTGAGTTTCCAACAGTCTGGGGCTGTATAAAAGTCAAACTCTGTGCTTGCACGTGATGGTTGTCTAGGGCCAGGGCCTCCCCAGGCCCTACAGCTTTCTCAGGCTTCCTGCGGGCCCCAGGTCAGAGGACACAAGTGTACAGGACATCCTATATGTCCTGGGGTACGGGACGTGCTATACTGACGGCTCCTTGTTCAGGTTCTACCTCACTTGCAGTGAAAGTTTCATCTACCTCATGTTAGCATCCAAAGGGTCTTGAAAAGAATAGTATTAATCCAGTGGAAAGTAGGTGGAAGTGGGAAGCTACCTTTAGAACAACTATTTTCATAAATCTAGAACTGTTTCTCCAAGAAGAAATGTTGGACCTTTAAAAAGATGTCAGGTAAATGTAGTCATAAATTCAAGTAGTTCTTAAACAACCTCTCTCAACTTCCAAAAGATTGACGCATGCCTTTCCATGCTGCTCAGTGTTACGAGACTACTGGGTGATCTGACCAATTGCAGGACTTACTGTCAAAGACCGTTAGGTCTCTCTTCAAGAGAAAAATGTTTTACCTGTTTTTGAATGTTTGCAAATAGACCCTTTTAGGGGAGATTGTAAAGTCCTGATTGTAAACATCAATTATTTGAAGGGAATGAGAATTCTTTTGACTTTGTGATTGTATCTGTAGCTTCTGGACCCAGCAGGAGGATGTTCATCACCATGATGTTGCAGCACTCACTGTTCCCACTGAGCAGTGGCTGGGAAGTGTGTATTGGTGTTTTGTTATGTGTTTTAATTTTTTTCTACCAAAGGTAACATGTTGACGGGTTGCTTTTTTTGTTTTTGTTTTTTTCTCCTTTCCATGTTTGTTAAATACTTGATAATAAATTTGAGAAGCACATTATCAGGATATATACTGTATTGACCTTCTACCTCTTCTTCTGTGGTTAATATTTGGTTTGACTGGAAGAGGGGATTCTAAGACCACTCTTACTAAATCATGAGTTGGGTTTATAAATGTCATGGTGAAAAAAATACCTCAACAATGTCTCTTTAAAACTGATCTTACGGGTTAACAAGCCAGCCTGGTGGGATGTTTTCCATCATCATTTAACCAGTAATGGTTCTAAAAGTTTTGTGTATCCACATGGTCTTAGACCTCATTTTAATGATTGTATTAACTTTCGAGCTCAGGTAGTATTTTTCCTAAGGCTATCTCAGAGCACACTGGCTGAATGTTGGCGTGTGTAGCAAGTTGTTTACTTTCTTTACATAACCAGCTCTGTAATAGTTCTTTATGTTTCTAGCAGTCTGTTAGTTGTCTTTCTTCAGAGGGAGATTTTTCACACTTACGGGGTTTTCTTGTTTTTAGGTGGTAAGATGTTTCCTTTCTTCTTTTCCCTTATTGTCAGTGCAGGTGAGGGTGGGTGGGTAAAGGGATGTTTTAAACTAGCATATTAAGAATAGTTGGGGGTGGGAGGGTTGTTAGTATTTTTTATATAAATCTTGCTTAATAATGTCCATTAGCTCTAATGCCTGGTCATAAAAATGCTTTAATTTTTAAGTATAGAATACATGACTCGGTTGAGTCTTTTACTTTTTTTTTTTTTTTAAAGAAATTTAAATGACAGGATTGGGGGAAAAGTAGCAAAAAGACATGTTGGATGATTAAGTTAAACCTCTAATTTTTATTATTTGTGCAAGGCAAATTGATACAAGCAGTATGCACCCCCTGAATACCTCCCTGGCTGCAGAAGCCATGCAGCAAGCCTGTCTGGGTGCTGGCTGCCTTGTGCCACATTTTACACGGCACTGCCTTGGTAGTGCGTGTCCCATCCCATCATTTCGTGGATAGGTGGAGAGATAGATTTTCCTCCAAACCTTTAGGCAGAAGTGGGTTTCTGTTTGGGTTATGTTTTTCCCCTCTTGGTTATTGCTTTTAAATCTTAAACATAAATAGTCAGGCCGCAGGCATGACAGGCAATGAGCAGGTGAAAAACCAATGGAAGAGTGTTCCAAAACTCCTGTGTTAGCTAACAGGCTTCTGAATGTATCGCTGTGGTCCACAGAGAAGGCTGGAGAAGGTAGCAAGGAGATGCTGTATCAGCTACTACAGCCTTAAAACAAAGTTGGTGTCTCTTTGGACTTTAAAATTGTTCCTATGCAGCTTATTTTATTTTTGTTTAATCAAATAAACAAGAGGGTTTTTCAACATGGATATGATGTGTCTGTGTGATCCTTTCATCTGGAATAAATATGCATGGGTGAACTGCCCTCGATGAGAATAAGTCCCTGAGATGAGTGGCCCAAGGGTTGTGCTTTAGCTTGGGGATTTTATTGAACTCTTGTAGTGAATTGAAAAAAATGTAGATGCCGGCATTTTAAAGTAGAAGATTGCTGAACAGTTTAGAAGTTTTAAAATCTGGACTTCCTCTGGGCCTACATTCTTTTTTTTTTTTTTTTTTTTTGGTCTTTTGAGGCAGGGTCTCACTCTGCAGTTCAGGCTGGCCTTGTGCTTACTTTGTAGCCCAGGCTGGTCTTGAACGCAATTGCAATGATCCTCCTGCCTCAGCCTCCCTAGTGCTGAGATTACAGGCATGTGCCACCATGCCCGGCTCTGCTGTTCTTTCAGAAGGGCCAAGAAGCAGCTGTCCCTTGAGTAGAACAAGTGCTGTGTAAGTGGGTGTCCCCCCTCTGCCGCAAACAGATACTGCCCTTATAACATCTGTTGTGTGGGCGTGGTGTCCAGGGAACCACTTGGGGCCTCAAACTGTGGCCCCAAGGGAAGTGAGCCACTCACCCACCTGGCCTCTCCCTTTTGGGGTTGGTATGGTACCATGTAAATGCTAGGTGGGTAGATACAATTCTCCTGAGCTTGGTTTGTTCTGTACTTAATCTCATACTTATTTTTTCCTTGGAACTAAATTTTACCAAGTGTAGCTTACCTGTTTAATCATGCAGTCTTAAGCTTGAAGCACTGTAAACAGAACCCGGGGCCTCACGCATGCATGTTCAACAAGCTGCCACTGAGCTCCGCATGTGCACAGAATTAACCTTTTTATAGAGGTTCTTAGAAACACAGTCAGCAGCATACCTGAGGTCCACTTTATTCTCTGAAAATTTCTCCTGTCATTTTTTCCCTTTCAAAATGAGATTTAAAAAAAAAAAAAAATCACATAAGGTTTAGCTGATTATACTGGGGCACACTTGTAATCCCAGCACTTGGGGAGCTGAGGCATGAAGGTTGCTGTGAGTCCAGCCTGGGCAGTAAATTAAAACCCAGCCTAAACCACATAGTCAGACCTTGTCAACAAAGCAGAATAAAAATCACAAGGGTTTTTTTTTTTTTTTTTTTTTTTTTTTCAGGAATTGAACTCAGGACCTTGCGCTTGCCAGGCAGGCGCTTGTGCCCCTGAGCTATATCTCCAGCAAGTTTTCTTGTTTTTTGTTTTTTGTTTTTTTCCAGTTTTTTGAGACAGGGTCTCTCTATGCAGTTCAGGATGACCTTGAGCTCACTTTGTCACCCAGGCTGGCCTCGAACTCACAACGATCCTCCTGCCTCAGCCTCCCCAAGTGCTGGGATCACAGGCGTGTGCCACCACATTCTAATAACGGGGCCAGGAATACAGCTCAGCGGCACACGCGCCTGCCTGACAAGCCCAAGGTCCTGAGTTTGATTCCTGGTACCAAAAAAAAAAAAAAACCAAATTCTAATGATGGTAGGAAGTACCTGTTAAAACTGAGGAGCATCTGGCCTAGGGAACCTCTGTGCTTTTCTTCACATGGACATTTACAGCCACAGGGGGGTTAAAACACTATTTTTCTTGTTGATAGTTTCAAAATTGTAATCCATCCTGATTACCAGGTACCTAAAAGATTGAAGATAGAATACCACTTAATGGGCCCTGAGTCCCTGATCTCACTTTCTCCCCTACCCAGTCTGTTCCTACCTCATTTAATTCCCCTTTCTCCATATCAGACACAGTGGAAGACTGTGTTAAATATGGTGTTTTTTTTTGTTTATTTTGTTTTCAGTTACCTGGCGCTGGCACTGGCAGGGCCTTGGACTAGCGTGGTTAGCAGGTAGGGAATGGTAGTGTTGCCAGGGCAAGCCCTTCCATCTCTCTTGCCTCTCCCATGATAACAGACAAGGGTGTGTTCTGAGGTAGGAACTTTGGAAGCTTGAACCTGGTGAGGAGGCTGCCACAACAGTATCTACAACTGGGAATACACATGGGATCAAAGTACATGTGGTTTTAAGAAGACAAACCCAGTGTTAGGGGTATTTGTGGGTCTCTGAGTTCAATCCCCAGTACCAGAAAGGAAGGGAGGAGGAAAAGAAAAAGTCACCATAGCAAATGGAAATGGAAATAAATTAAGCATGAAGGAAGGCCAGTTGGATATAGCCAAAGAGAAATGTAGCCTGTAAAATATGTATCAAGCATTATCAACGGCATGGTGGCGCATGCTAACAATCCAGAGGCTGAGGCAGGAGGATCGCCATGGATTTGAGGCCAACATGAAGTACATAGCAAGACCCTGTCTCAAAAAAAAGGGATTACAGTGGGCTCCTTGAATTCCCTTTGGTAAAATTTAAAGTATACGTTTTTATTGACCGTTATT